AGAGTTTATTGGATCGTTATCACCCAGCAGCACCAGCTTTCCTTCCCCTCGATTTTATTGCTTTTTCGAGCTATTAGTATCTATCCCGTCATATATGCAGAATATCTATTAAAGATCGAGTATCTAATCGTGACGCTCCATTTTCCACGTGGAGAGCCATGGTAAAAGAGATCCTTACTGGTTAATATTATAACCGTTAGCAATTACCCTTTCTGTCAGTACTAGCAAGAAAACGAGATACCACTATGCGAACTACGACGCTTGGCCGTTCCACAAATTGTTAACTAATTGTTATCTTTTCATGCTCCCTTACGCGAACACCGCTAAACTCCCGCGGCGCGTGTTTAATAGAAGGTTTCGCGCAAACATTCACTTTCTCGTGTCTATTTATTCCCCCAACCTTCTCTCTTTTTATCTTTCTTATTCCCCCATAATCTTGTTCAACTTCATTCGACGTATATAATTTTCCTTAAGTAAATTTAACAAATTTCATAATTGTCATTTCGAGAATATAATGTGTATGATAAATATGCATAATGTAGAAGATCAGTAACGTTTAAAACATTTTTAAATATTATCTAACAATATCATAAGCATAATCTTGTAGATATATTGGAACAGAATATCCTGAGTATTATCCTTTAAAGATTATAATTTTAACATAAGTCGATTAAGAAAAAAAAAAAAGAAGAAAAAAGAAAAATGTTTGGGAAAAAGATTCGTTAAATATGAAATTTACATTGTAGATAATGAACACATGGATGAATTAAAATGACGAAAGAAAAATTCTTCTCTTGAGAAAATAGTACCATGACGTTATACGATTTTCTAGGAAACTTCAGCGCGACATTAAAATTCTACACGTTGAATATTCTATGCGTACAACGCTTAACCGTTCATAGCCTGCTGGCTAAAGTCGGATAAAATACTATCTCACGAGTTCTCTCGAAGAGAAAAGACTCTGTTCAAACTGACAAGACTATTCTTTAACGATACTCATCTCTAACTGACGTATAAATTATATGCTTTCCATGTCGAATTCCTGTCCTTTTTATCGCAAGAAATTAATTCGCAAGATGTCTCAAACGTATGGGGTTTTTTTTTTTTTTAGAGATAAAACGTTATTCAATTAATCATCACTCGCAAAATCAAATTTTGACAGTTGAAGCATCCCCATGAGAGATTCTTGTCAGGGGCGTCTGGTGTCTTGCCAGAAACGTGTCTCCCATGAGAATAAAAAAAGGAAATATGGAAATAAAATAAGAAAAAAGTATTGAAGAAAATGATAACATTATTTCATTTCAGAACGAATTTACACGTGGATCATACTATGTAAGAAAAAATTATGTTTAATAGATAATGTTTATGTTGGTAATTAATTATAACAGATAATATAATATGAAATAGTCTTCTCATCATGATGATATAACAATAATAGGCACATCTACGGAACGTTTATATTTTAATGTATTTTGAATACATTCCCAAAATGAGACTTCTGTTTCTATCACATTTTCGTAAAAAAAATGGAATCCTGTAAGAATTCTTATTAATTGCTATTAATTTGTCGCTTATGATACCCACCTATAAATTTATTACAAAATTGATACTGTACATGCAAAATTAGCATTGCATATGGATATTCATCACTTTCTTTTACTTATCTGAAAATCTTTTAATAAAGTATTTTCTGACGTAATAATTCTATAAACTTTCTTGACCTACGTGACCTCATTAACACATCGTATAAGTTTGATTATGATCCTTTAAGATAGTCCATATATATATATAAATCGTGATAATGAAAAAATGTATGGATTCATAAATATTTGGCAATTGATAAAGTTAACTTTTTCACATAATAATCACTGGATGTTCAAAATCTTTCGTGTGGGAGACAAAAAAAGTAAAAAAAAAGAAATAAAAAGGAATAAATAGAAAAAAGAAAAAGAAGGGAAGGTTTTCGGGCGTGGCATTATGTCCGCATGGAAATTTATAGAGATATCTTTTTTCGGCACGCGTGTGGGCAGGCGAAAAGACTACACGTGGCCTCCTCCTTCTACTCCTCCTCGTTATAATTATGTACGCGCATACGATCAGAAAAAAAAGAAAAAGAGCAATCATATGGTCGCACCAAAGAAAAACTACTACTGCGCGATGATACTCTTCTGGTTTGGAAAGAAAATGTGATTTATGCACGCGAATAAACTCGTGCGTTAGGATCCCGAGTCGATCAGGCAAACGACCCCAACACATCATTCTAAAAAAGAAAAGAAAATTTGTGCCCAAATGAGACGTTTTTATATATATTTTTTCTAATATTGTCTGGAATTCATTATTTCTGAAAGATGATGTATAATAAATATAATCTAACGTTTATGTGGAATTGACAAATTACGAATTTTACTTTGATAACGCACTTGTAACTCTTACAACTCTTATGGTACTAGTTAAAGATAAGTTTTAAAATATATTACGAACTTTGCTAAAACGTTCATTAGGATAGTTTACCAGTACTATACAAGCATCGATCTAAGTGTTACATGTCGACAGTTCGTAAAATAACAAGTGGAGGGAATATAAAAGATCTCGAAGACGATTTGGTAGAGACGAGCTAGAAACCTTTCAAATGCATCCAGTGAAAGTGATACCGTACGTGAAAAATTAAAGTATTATGTTTCACAAATATCCAACGATCAAGAACAATTTATGCTCTGCCAAGAATTTCATCCGCAACCTTTCTGTTCGTCCTGAAAGTGAAGTAAATCCGATACGAGGATACTTAAAGTATCACGTGAAAAAAAAAAAAAGGAAAAAAGAAATTAATCCCTTGCAAAAACATAAGACACATTTGTACGTTTAATTATATTGGTGATTCAACGCCAAGTTTTCTTGTAACCTTCTATCTAATTCTGGTCATATAATACATCATGTAAAGAGCTAAATCAGTACTAGAGATTTTGTTTGTATTAACAAAAAAAGAGAAGAAAAAAAATAAATTCGCGCTGTTTTATTATATGCCTCGAGATTTGAACAACAGTAAAAATAAATCAAAATGTAAATTATGTTTTTAACAAAGAGGCAATTAGCAAGCATACTATTGAACATTCATTCCAAATATTTCATAAAAACAAATCGTTAAAGATAAAAAGTACCGCGAACGTCTCCTTAACTGTTAATAATTATTTAAAGAATATTATCGAAGCAAACACACGTCAAAGAACTCGAGAGGTGCAGAAGAGCTCTCTATGTTAATCATTCAACAGATATAATATCTTTAATATAAGCTTCAATACCTATAAATCCGCAATTACTTCTTCATCAATCTGATATAATTAACTAAACAAAAAAATAAGATCCATTTTTGTTTAGGTAACTAAGAAAAATCATTTTTATGAAAAAAATAATAAATATTTTCTAAAATTTCTATACTTAAAAGTATTGCTGCATTTCAAACAAATTTTATTTTTTACTCATAATGAAATCCTGTAAGAAAATAAACAATATAGATCTAAAGGTATTAAAAAAAAAGGGGAGAAAAATAAAATAAAATGAGAATCATCATGCACTCTCACGTGTGACTTCGTTTGTCCTCTCTCTCTCTCTCTCTCTCTCTCTCTCTCTCTCTCTCTCTCTCTCTCGTTTTTTCTCTTGACATTTTGGTCTCGATCGAAGTAAGTACAAACAATTTGGACGTTTCAGCGATATGCGAATGCTGACAAAGGCGAGTCAAAAAAGAAGGAAAAATAAGAGACGAACGACCGAACAAGTTCACGGCTAAATTCCATTCTGTTTTCAACTTATTCGCGTCCTTTCATGTCAATTCTCAAAGACGTGGCGTAAACGGTATTAAACATTCTCGGCGCGTATGATGTCTTGTGACGTTACGAAAAACAAAAAGGAACATGTAAGCAAAATTCTTCACTGCTAGTGTGCGTGCTCCGCGAGAAAATTCTTTGTCAACTAGAACACCTATCATAGATAATGATTTCTACTCTTTAAATACCGTCGACGTTAATAGAACTCATATCATTTGTTAAACATTGAAGGAGTAGAAAGTTATAAGATTAACAATAAAATGAAATAATGAAAAATATTATAGCAGGATTACCATTCAAATCAAAACAATGTTAGTGAATTTAAAAAAAAAAAATATTGCATATTTATAAATTAATAAAAATAATTATGCATAAATACATGATTTTAATGCTATGCGTAAATACAAATACCGAAAAAAGAAAATGCAGTTATTGCTACAGTAATTATAAGCGAGATAAGAATTAATTTCAAATGGACTTTAACTACTTAAAACGAAAAATCGAAAAGTAACAAACAATACAAATTAACAGCGCCCTTTTTCGTTTCTAACATTTTATTCGAACGAGACTGTTCGTACGTTTGATATTTCAATCATCCGTCTATCGTTCAATGATAAATTATTTATTCTAAGTACATCAGCCTACATAAAAGCGATTATTATCCAGGTAAGCTAATAATAGTTAAAGCCTATTATATTCAAAGCTTTATGAGCTCGAAGAACGTTATGACAATTGTAGAAGTACTCTTATGGTGATTATTAATAAACTCCGCATTAAGAGACGTTTAGGTAAGCCAAGAAGCAGTCGTACGTTTAATCCAAGCAACCATTTGTTCCACGAGAAACATCTTTTGAACTAACTTCTAATTACAAGTGAGACATGCGGAAGTGGCTGTGCCTAAATACACAAGCAAATAACAGAAAGCGTTACGCTTGAGTATCCTTAAAAGATGGAACTAAAGCAAAGGATAGAAATCTATCAGATTATATTACCTTAAGATTAGAAAGTAACCTTTTGATAGATTTAAGAAAAATCAGAAATTTTCTCAATCAACAAAACAATAATGCGAATATGAAAAAACAAACGAAAAAGTTCACATTGTTGTAAGATAAAAATTCATAATAGATAATTATCTAAAGATAATAAATAATAACAAGAAATAACATTAACGCTCATACCAACCAATTTATCCACAACTAATTTAATGTAGAAAAACTTCAGTCCACTCACGAATACTATTACCCTGTAATAATAAAAAATAAAAGAAACAGTAATAAAAAAAAAGGAGATTAATCGTAAGTGCATCCTATCATAACAAAATATGAATGTCAACGCGGTAAAAAAAATGAAAACATGTTCATATAATATATAACACACTCGACACGCTATCTTATCACATATAGGACGACGCACGCACGCACATGTTACGTTTCCGGTCATCGACACGCGCTTGTTACTTCACGAGGAGAATGTTGTCCCTACTAATCAAAGTTACAGTAACAATTTCTGACTTCGTATGAGGTAGTTCTTACTTTGTAAAATGCAGCCTAGTTCACGAGAAAAATAAAAAGGAATGAGAAAAGAGAGAAAAAAAGATAATAAAAATCTCAAATAAACGAAGCACAGGGGCAACATAACCTTGTTTTGTTGTCGTCGAATTACTTGTCGAAAAATAAAAAATTTAATCACTAACCTGCATACTATCCGCCGAAATAATTTCCCCACCGAATTTTCTAGCCAATTCAATTCCAAGTTTTGATTTTCCTGAACCAGTTGAACCCAAAATCACTAATAACGGCACTCGCGACATTTCCATTTCACTGTCCTGGTACATCTTTCTATCTTGCTTGCTGCGCATGCGCGTCTACAGACCTAGCGCTCCATACGATTCCACTCGTTCCGTTTATTCGAAACTCGATGGCACGCGCGCTTCTTTTCAAATTCCTGTATAACATTGTCCCACGTATATACGCGTATTTTAAAGTAATATTATGTTTATAATTATTATGTATCGTATTTTTGCTAAGTAAAACAATCAACGATATAAAAGATTCATCGTATAATGCATAATAAAGCAGCATTTTTATTCATTTTTCATTTCGGTAAATTTTAAATAAAAGAATAAATATTTTAAGTAACATTTTAAAGAATATTATTAATCACAAATTAATCTTTAATTCAAAATATTTTTTAATTATATAAATTTGACAGTTATTCATTTTTAATTAGCCATATTATGTCAAATATGATAGTTTATAAGTTAAAATTAATATTTAAAAAAATTCTCTTTATAGCTTCTCAGTATTAAAATTTTTCATTTACGAAACTAAACGGATCATAAAGTTTATATGCGAACAAGAGAAAAATGTTACGTTAGGTAATAATAAAATAAAAATATAATATTGTGTGTGTGAATGAATAGAAGTGTAACAAGACTTATAACAAATTCTGATTATATAATAGAGTGAATTTTACATTCCCATAAAATGACGTTAGATCATATTACGTATGTATATACAATATACACGTATCTCTGCTTGAGTCATTAAACACCCACAAGAATTACAAAAGCGACAAGTTTAGCACACCTCTTACGATAAATGCTAGACCAAGTTCTATGACACAATGTTCGATATTAAGGATTTAATTTGTGTAAACAAATACATTTTAACTCTTGTTTCATTACTACAAAATTATATATCTACGACTTAATACCAATAATTATACGAATCATGAATGGAAGAAATAAAGTAGAATAAAAAATTAATTTCTTGTTATATATTATATATAAAGCTTATTTTCAACCATAATTTGTTCTTACAAATTTCGTCGTTTCATTATTATAAAAATCTTGAAAATTATTTATAATAATTAGCCGAAAATCTATGGTTGTTCGTTTCAGAAATAAACCAGACTCAACACATTCTCATGTCACGTCATCAATGACTTTGCTTACAGTCTGACTATGTCTATGTCTATATCTATGTATATGTCTATGCTTATTTCTAACTTTATCTCTCTCATACTATTCAAATCCAGTGGAAATAATTAGATTTCCAACTACATACGTTATGCCTGAATCACGGAAATTGCAAAAAACGATACACGTGCAGATAAATGACCTTAGGGATCAGTTGCATACATTTACTCGAAGTCATCAAAAGTTCATTTTTTATAGATAATCTTTTAATACGTATGTATATGAACACGTGATATATATACAAAGAATAAAACGAGCATATATTTGTAAATAAATCTTTATTTAACTTTTATAAAATATTGCCAGACACAATCTCATTGTTAACACGATATTACAAATTGCATTTCGATATGTATTTTATTTTTCCCTCATATTTTATTTCTTTCTCGCCTCTCTCGGATGATAAATAAATGGATCGAGATAAATGCCGGCAAACAATTTAAACGAATTTGAATTACAGCTCGCAATTATCATCAGATTACATCACGATTAACGACGAACGTTTAACGACTTTATCTGCTCGAAAAAATTGTTCGAGGGAAAATCCAGTGAATTTTTATGGCATTGTTATGGGATACAACAAATCGTACTAGATTTCTTGGCAACGTGTCAAAACATTTGCAACGTAGTTATAAACTGATTTACGTTCGTTCGAAAGATAAATGATCGATTTCCGATTTTACCGATTTTCTCGCGAACGATGTGCCGTAATTTAATTATAGAGAGCCCTGAGTGAATCAGTCACCGTGGCGCGTACAAAAATACGTTCATAGGATATATGCATGTACATGTATTTCGAGAGGAAGGGAACGCGATCGAAATAATCGTGAATTCGTTCCGCCATGAACGAAACCGTCGGCCGGACGCTTTATGCAAGACGTTTTAATTATCATCGCACTTTTAGTCACGCGAGCTGAATATCAATTATCCTCCTACTAGTAACGTATTCGGCGTTTAATATTTTACTGATCGAAATGTCGTCCTCGTGTACAAACGGTTCGTTCGGTTAAAGCAGCTTTCAGAAAAGTTACCTCGATAAAAGTTATACTTTTCCTAAAGTTTTGACATGAACGAAGACAAACTCGGCATATCTCCGAAGTACAATGCGATGGTGGAATGATAACGAACCCCTCATGTTCGCAACTATTTCTTTCACGTCTCTCTTCCTTTTTTCCTCAAACGATCAATCGTGATTCTAATGAGTTTTCTACTACGTGAATAAATGAACAAGTTAGAACGGTGAAGTAATAATTGGACGAATATTTTACTAATTGACTTGAATTAATTATGCAATTTAAAAAAAAAATGATTTACATTATACCAAGAATAGTAAATATAATAGTTACATAATATAAAAGCACATACAAAAACACAATTTTATATACGTATATAAATTAATTATAATATGGAGGCAATATAGAACGATATAGGGCTTTAAAATGTCACGTAACATAGCATGTTATTAAAAGTCAGGGTCAAAGAAATCCGTGAATGGCATAAGATTCTACCGCTAAAAACATTTGGATTAGTGAACGATGAGATAAGAAAAGCCGACGCAACTGCAAGTGCCACGTAACGGACTGATTATTCTATCAGTCATTGCCCTCGTACTTTCGAAATCTCATTGGCGTATCTCTGATCTATCGAATTATCTCTTACCGGAGTCGATGAAGGCTATCTATTCAGCATCTTTCGCAACTTTTGTTAGATAAGATAGGTGTTTTCCTTTATCGTTATTCAGGTCAGTAATCGAAGCGTGAAACGATTTTGCTATTCGTTTCTGTCCTTCTATCCTTCGACTTTCTAATGATGATAAAAAACATTTCTTTATAATAACGACTAAAAATAAGTTTATTCTTTATAATAATAATAATAATAATAATAATAATAATAATAATAATAATATTTATAATAATGATAATACGAAACAATTTTTACAAAAGTTACCATCGTTTGTCACAAATTTATTCGAAAATAATTTTATAGTACGTTTAAAGTAATTTGGCAAGACATTTACAAGATGCAAATCAGACAACGTCCGTAATAGATCGTAAGACGATGAACGATCGTGACAGACGTTCTGCGCTAAATTTACGCCTAACAAAGGTTGCGTCGTTGCTCGATTCCATCGAAGAAATGTATGTACGTAAATATAGAAGTACTAAGAAGATGTGTGATGCTCGTCGTTCAATTTTACTAGCAATGACGAAATGACGATGGCCTAGCCCTCTGCTTTCCATAATTTTCACATTTAATCGCCTAATCGCGGTACGAGCCGAACTAAAGAACTTCTACGAGAGTAGAGTAAAAATACAGAAAAGAAAAGAAAATAGAAAAGAAGAAGTACGATAAAAAATGAATAAATAGAATTTATTACAAAAATCGAGAGTGATAATTTTAGTTTAATCGTTGATTCTTTGTCTCTTCGATCATCGTATATTACTTTTATTATCTACAATATCATCCTAATCATTATACAAACCGTCATTAAAGTTTTCTCGTTGGTCAGGCACTTCAATATTACTCTCATTGCATCCACAGCAGTGTTACATCCGTCTTTACGATGTGGAATTAATTTGACCGCCGAAATAAAGGCTCGTTGGGTCGTTGATCTTACAGCGAAACGTCGTAACTAAATATTCTTAAATGAGGACCTACGCCCATACTCCTACGTAAGTATATACATAGATATGTCAGCGTTACTTTATAAAATCCGCTAATTCGTGAAATGACTAGCTAAACCCTGAAATAACTATACTAACCTGTTTAAATATGAAAGAAGGAAAAATTACATCCGATAGAACAGCATGACTAACAGTGTTTAAAGTACGGAAAGAGGTAAAAACGGATAATTATGAGCATTGATGTAGAAAGAAAAGCAAACTTTAAAGACGGATCAAATTTCAATCTCATACTTTAACTACTCGCCTCTTGTGAATTTATATATAACCTCGTTATTTCCTAAAACTACTAATTTTAGTATAAAATAATTATATA